TGTTGGTGACACCCCGACATCCCACGTGTTACTGACCCCGGTACCCAGCCCAAATGGTACAGACTAATTTCATGTACAAGATCCCGTAAAAACCCATTCCCTGGCCTCAGCATTCTTGCCTGATGGATGGCACGGGGTAAAAAGCCAAGCACTAAACCTCACACAAACCCAAGAAAACATCTGAAAAGAACTGGGGAATTGATGTTGATTTCACTTTCCTTAGCTATATAACTCAGGAATAAATACAGGTGAAATAGGCAATGAATATGGCCAGGACCCTAAGCTTGACCTTCTGGGCCCCACATGATTTGCACAGTGAGCAGGCAACACTCCAACCAGCACACCCCACCTGCCAGGCCCATCTGCCACAAGCTCATGGGCAGCCAGTGAGTCACAAAGGATGACCTACAGGATTCCTCAAAAGTGCCAGCGGTCTTGGGGAGCTGGGGCGTAAAGGAATGGGGAGAACATGCCTTGTCTTACCCTGGGACGATATGGGACAGTGCTCCTACTATAAAAATCAGATTGGCTTAGACTTCTGGTTAATAGCAAAGGAGTTTTGAAAAGCCTCCATAAATCCTGAAACGTTGGAAGCATGGAATTAATCAGAGCCAGAAACATGACTTCGGGGGTCCTCCGCAGACATTTTCCAAAGACAATGGGAAGACAGTAAATAATAGCCAATCAATATCTAATTTCAACCATGCTGTACTGATCTGTAAGTAATCTCTCCACGCATGGGGGTTTTCGGGAAGAACTCTGAAGTCCCATCTCATGACAGCCTCCCAGATTAGGAAAAGACACACGTCTCTTTCAGCCCATTGATACAGCTGGAAAACCAAGACGGACGTGACCCGAGCTCCGTCAGCTGGGGACAAGCTAACAGAAGGTGACCTTTGAGACCCCACCCCATCTTGCTCCATCTTCTCTACCACCGGAAAATCCTTTCTCAAAAAAAAAGATAAAAGTCTACTTGGGGAAACAAGAGCGCAGGTAGGATGAATTGGGAAGGGGATGCCAAAAGACAGAACTTATTTTGCAAAGCAACAGTATCTAGCATCTCTGTAGACTGCTCACACATTTAGTTCAGTCCGGAGGTAATTCATACCTCACCGCAGGATTTCCACTGTTGTAGCGATGCTAGATACGAGCAGTCAGACCAGAAGTAACAGCCTATGTTAGTGCCTAGGGAGAAAAAAATAAAGCTTGCATCTATTTATGGAAGGGGACCAAAGTATAGGAGAATGACCCTTTTCTCCATCCCCGTCCTAACAAATGCAGTAGGCTTCAAGTCCTCAACACCCCAAAAAGATGCGATCAGCACTCCCACTTGTATAGGCATATAAATACAATTACTTCCTTAAAAAATAAAAACCCAACAGACTAATAGCAGTAGGCACACATCCTACGAGGCACAAGTTTTTTATGGTATATACGGTTAACACCTATTTGAATCACGTACAATGAAGCTTAATTGTTTTATTCTACACATAGCAAAGCAACCAATTGAATCTAATATTAGTCATTCATCAGATAAAACATTTTCAGGGAAACAAACTGCTATATTTTCCCCTCAAAGAACAGCAAGCATTTTAAACACATTTTCCAGAGATGTTACGCCGAGGAAAACAGCTTAGAAATGTTACTTTAAACAAATCCGTTCTCTGGCTACCAACAACAAGACGAATTGGAACAAATGCTTGGCTCTGTTCTTTCCGAGGCTCCTTCTGTCCACCTGTCAAAGGCAGTTTTGAACCCTCCCACCCCCCCACCCCTAGAGGCAACTTGGGAGCTGTGAAATGTGCCACCCTGCCTGGATGCCCTCTGCACGGGATGCCAGGATCCTCATTAGGGATTATCCAACTCACTCGAAGCAGGGAGAGAGGAGATGGGCCGGCTGCCAAGTGTTCTTTCAACACAGATTCCGAAAGAAGATCCTGCAAAGTGTCGAAAGCCCAGATTTTCAGCCAGTTCACTTTCTAGACTCTGTTACATAGCAACCAAGCCAGCTCACACAGGGTACCAACCAAATTAATATTTTGTTTAAATGACACACTGCATTAACTCTCTAGGAAAACCCAAGTTCTCCTCGTCGACTTACCTAGGGTCAGGTACCACGGCTGGAACAGAACTCCCACGGTGAATTGATGTGCTTGTGTAATTCATTAAAAAAAAAATTTTTTTTTTAACCCCAAATTTGAAAACAGATTTAACGAGTTCTTGGCAGGGAGAGCAAGAGTGACTCTTCCCCGTAACCATTTGTGCTAATATTATTAAAAATACATTAGCATTCATTTAATCTGCATAATGCCCTTTAGTAAAATATGACTTCTGCAGATGCATTTTGAAAGCTACTCATTTCATTCAAAACTTTGATTTGAAAAAGGACAACTCAATAGCACCAAACGGTCCTAGGGCTTGGGGCCATTAAATCTCCCAACACAGACAAAATTAAAACAGAGGACGCATTCAGAAGATGGTCATTAACCCCCAGGAACCGAGCTTGACTTGTATTACGAAGAAGCATGAGGAAACCAACAGACCATGCTTTAGAATTAACTTGGGAGAACCCCATGCTTTCTTTCCTTTAGGAATAGGAAAGCACCAGCTGAAGAAACCACTAGAACACATCTACAGAGGGTTTCTGTTCTGGCAAGAATGCTGCCACAGGTCATGAGAGAAAACCAAAACAAGAAAATAAAAACAAAACCGAAAATATTCGCAGAGGCCAACTAATGTAAAAAGTACTGAATTGGGGTATTCCTGTCGAGTTAAAGTAAATGATGTTCTACTGGATTATGGGTTGGGGGGCTTGTTTTCTTTTCAACCGTCACCTTGGTTTGAATTCACATCTATTTAAGAGGACTAGGTGGCCAAAAATTAAGTTGAGCTAAAACCTTTAACATTTTCTTCTCTGATTATAAAATCACTAATTCCCCCTGGTAAAGGTATTGAAAAATAACAAGGCTACCCAGGGGAATAATCAAGACCATCCTTCATCCAACAGCCCCCCCGCCCCAGCAGATGGCTTACTAACCCGAGCAGGCATACTCCTAGGAGCGTGAGGGAAATGCTGGTCTCGGGAGTTTTGAAGGTTATCAAGAGATCCAAAAGTCCTGTCCACAGCCTTGGGCACTTTTGTAGGAAAAGAGAAGAAGGAAATCGCCCACTGTTGCTTCACTACAACAACTGGACCATCAGCTAAGTATCTCAGTGTCCAAGTCGGGTGAGCGGATCAGCGCCGTACTGACCTCCTTGGCGTGCTCAAGTCCGCAGCTGGACCCGGGACTCAAATGAAAGCCACTTAACTTTTCCTTGGCTGAGGAAAGGGGGCAGACGGTGGGAAATAAACCAGCATTGTTCAGGGCTCCTTAGCATGACTTTTGATTCTTAGCAGAATGCCAGTTCTTAGTGATTTCTTTAATGTTGGAAGAGTCTGGACCTATAAAGAACAAAGCATCACCACGCAGTCCAGCTCCCCCCCCCTTTTTTTCCCCTCCGGATGCCACAGTGGAGTAACTTCCACACACAATGACAGCACAAGGGATAAATGACACAATAACCAGCTACCCACCTTGAAAACCGCAGCAAGTAACAGCTTTACAACACCTTCCCACCATTACATCATGGCTACCTTGGTCCCAAATTCCCACCCTGATTCCTAAGACTTCTGACCAACTCCCCAAAGTACCAAGTCAACATGACTTGGAATTCTGCATAAAACTAACGTACAGGCTTTTTAACACCCCGCACCACGAAAAGCACACCTTCCCCGGGGAGGTAAGGAGCAAAAGAAACTGATGGGAGAAGGCATTAACACGAACACAGACACTCTCCCGCAACACTTAGGAGAAGCTCTTGAAACAACAAAACCAGAGAATTCCTCTGAGCTGCTGAGCTATTGGTACCTCATACTTCATCAAGTGACATATTTATACAAGTGGCCCCCTAGACTGGATCATTTTTCTCTGCCAGATTCGGGATTTCAGCAGTTCAGTTAATTAACCGAATGATATTAATAATCAATGATACCGTTTCTTAAAGAGCAATTAGGCCAAAACGGGAAAAAAAAAAAGACTGAAAAGCCAGTCTACCCTTTGACTTTTCAGTTCATAGAAACCAAACAGGGCATTTTTGGATGCTTCCTCCACCTTTAACCCTCCCAGGGCTTTCAGGGCTGCATCACTGTCAATGCCAACACGGCCCAGCTGTCTTTTTCCCCCCTCCTCCTCCAAAGTGCAGAGTCCTTTCCAGCAGCGGCTCCCTGCAACCCACCATCTAAGCCTTCATTTCGCCAGGAGCCCATCACTCAGCCTTTGAGGTCTAAGATTTCCCCCGGAAAGTGCACTCGGTGTTTATATGTGCTGGAAATTTAAACTCCCTGCTGAGCAGACCATCTACTACTGTTGCATCGATATATTCCGCTGTCCGCGCGATCTCAAAGGGGGAGAAAATAAAGTCCAGATGCAATCGAGATGAGGGGTTTGGCATCCACGGAGAGAAAGTACAAGCCGGTTCAATCCTCTACCCCAACCAAGGCAGCGGAGCCCGGAGCTCACTCTCTGAGACAGTCTTCCCCAGAGAAGAAGCCCTCGGAATCGGGGCAGGGGGCTGGGGGGGAGCTGTGGCATTCACCCCTGCCGGGGGTCGGGACAAAGGCCCAGGCACAAAAAGTTTGCCCACGGAGTCGGGGGCTGTGTGCCACCTAAAGGGCACTTTCCGCCGCGGGAGGGGCGCCGCCGGCTGCGCCTGGCTCCCGCTGGCGGTGCCCGGTGTGACCGTGTGAACCCGTGCACACTGCGCCGGGGTTTTCCTTAATGACAGCAGCCTGGAACTCCCAGCAGCGGTGCAGCGGTGGCCACCGCAGGGAGGAAAGGGTTACGAGCCACAATGCGCGCGGCGATCTCGCCCGGGGTGTGGAGGCTCCGAGTCCCCGGCCACCTCGGCCCGGGTCCCGCTCGCTCGCCTCCCCTCCGCCCCTGGCGCCGGGTGAGCCCTACCTTGCGCGCCGTGCTGGTGGTTCTCCATGTTCGCCGCCGCCGAGTCCGCTGCCGCCGCCGAGGCGCTGGCCGCCGCTCCCGGGCCCGGACCGGGGCCGCCGCCGCTCAGTTCCGCCAGTCTCCGGTTGGTGGCCGTGAGTTCGGCTCGCAGGTTGGTCACCTCCTGGCTGGCCGACTGGACCGCCCCATCGATGCGGAGCGCGAGCTGCTTATTGTCTTCCATCATGCTCAGGATTTTGGCCTGGGGGCGAGAGAGGTGACAAAGAGCTGCATGATGCGCGGGGGGGGGGGGGGGCGCGGCCGGGCACCCCCGGCTCTACCTGTTGGGTCCCCCGCGGCCCGGCTCCCCCGCGCCCCGACCCCCAGGCACCGGCAGCGCCGGCTCCTCCGGCGCAGGAATGACAGCGGCGCCTCCAGCCGGAGCCGCGGCGGTAGCGAGGCGGCGTGGGGTGGGGGGGGGGAGGAGAAAGAGGAGGAGAAGGAGGAGGAGGAGCAGCGATCGCGGAGACCCCAGCGCCGAGCGCGGCTCGGGGAAGGACACCGCGCGCCGCCCGGCACTCTTTCACTGGAGCCTACCATTCGCCGCGCGCTCCGGAGGGGGCCCGGATCTGGGCCCCGGGCGCACCCTCGGCCTCCCGCGCCCCCCCACTTCGGGGACACACCCCCCCGGGGGGCGGGGGCGGCGGGCGGCGGCCGCCAATGGGCCGAGGTGGCGCCCCCGGCGAGAGGTAGGGGGCGCCTGCTCCACCGCGGGCCCTCGGTCCCCTCCCATAAGCGGTGGGGCAGCCCCCGCCCCGGCTAGCAGGCTCCCCGCGCGGGGGGCCGGGAAGGGGGTGGGTGCTCGGGAGAGAGGGGTGCTCTGCAAAGAGGCCCAGAAGGGGAGCCGGGATGGAGCTCCTGGGGGGAGGGGCCAGCTGGCTCGATCTCAGGAGTGGAGCTTTGCCTTCCTTAAAATGCGGGTAGGAAATGTGCAGCGAGCGGGGGAGCTGAGCTAGTGCCCTGAGTGCCTCTCACTCTCCACCCCACTCCATCTCCACCACCCCCACCTCCTCTGCCCCAACCTGCTCTGTGCGCCCTTCCCGGGAGGAGCTCTCTACCGGGCCCCAGGGCGGGCCACTGGAGCTCTGGTCGCCTCACAGACCCAAACCCCCCACGTGTGCACCCGAGGTGGAAGGCTGGCCTTAGCCAGGTCCTAAGCTCCTTGGCTGGGCTAAATATTGGGGGTCGAAAGGGGGAGGCCAGGAGAGAAGACCAGAAGGCATCCAAGGGGCTTCTTTCTCCTTCTACTGGAGGAGTGAGAGTGTGGAGGCCCTGCTGCCTCAGTTTACCCATTCCCTCTTCAAGGGAGAACTGAGGTAACCTTAAAGTTGATAAACCTATCCAGCTCCTCTTTCTCCCAGAGTACAGGCTTTGCATTTTTCACTGGGGCCCTGGATTCCAGCCACCAGACCTTGTTACCATAGCAAGCTTCATTCCATGCAAATAGGACAATCTGAAACAGCCCATGTAACCCTGAGGACAATAGTGCACCACCACCGGAGCTCAGTCACCCTCGGCAGAGTAGCTCAGAACCCACTGCAGAAACTGGTGGGGAGCCCTGGCACAGACTGGGGGTGCCCACCCTTGAAATTTATCAGCATCTACTAAGTAGGAAACCTACTGTGTGCAAAGTGCTTAGGCTGCACTATCATCTCTTTGGAGTAAGGATTAGGAATTCTAACTGAGACAGGAAGAAACTGAAGCTCTGGATGGGGGGGTTAAGCGATTCACCCAAGGGGCCCCGCAGAAATCAGTTGAAACCAAGACCGGAAGTAAGCAGTCATCTGATTTCCAATTAGTCCCACTGTGCCGTGGATGCTAGATTTTTATTTGGAACCATAAAAACCCACTCTTGCTTAACCCCCTGGGGCCACTAACAAGCTTTTGTAAAAGGGCAAGGCAGTACTGGTGGAACGTGTGAATGCAGACACAATTTTTCACTGTCTGTTCTACCAAGCTAACTGGTCAGCTGGGGATTGAACCCCTGACCTGAGTCTCATTAGTAGGAATTCTGACCCGCTGGACCAACCAAGGAACTTAGGCTGCTTGGTGTATCTGTAAATCAGGATTTAGTTCTTTGAAGTCCTTTGGTTAAATTACGGGGGAACCTAACTGTGAGTCTTCAAAAGGTGGGGGCTGTCATGGTTCAGCCAGTATGGAAAACGGTTTGGTGGTCCCTCAAAAAGTTATGCACGGAATTACCATATGGCTGAGCAATCACACTCCTGGGTATAGAGCCACAGAGTTGAAAGCTGATACCCCCAACCAAAGGTTGTAGGCAAATGTTCACAGAAGCACAATTCACAATAGCCAGAAGGTAGAAACAAATGTCCAACCACAGATGATTGGATAAACAAATGGCCGTATATCCATACAATGGGCTATTACTCGGCCATGAAAAAGAATGAAGCATTGACAATTGCCGCAGTGTGGGTGAAGGTCGAAAGTAGTCTGCTGAGTGAAAGAAGCCAGACGCAGAAGGTAACATGATTTCTGTGGAATAGCCAGACTAGGTAAATCCAGACAGATGTGGGTGTAGGGGCTGGGGGAAGGGGAGAATGAGGAATGGCTGCTTAATGGATACTGGGTTTCATTTTGGGGTGATAAAACGTTTTGGAAGTAGAGGAGGTAGTTGTGCAACATCGTGAATGTACTGAAGGCCGTTGAATTATTTGCTTTAAAATGGTGCATTTTAGGAGCCCCTGGGTGGCTCAGTCAGTTAAACATCTGACTCTTGATTTCAGCTCAGGTCATGATCTCAGGGTTGTGAGATCAAGTCCTGGGTCCAGCTCTGTGCTGGGTGTGGAGCCTGCTTAAGATTCTCTCTCTCTCCCTCTGCCTCTACCCCTCCCACTCTTAGAAAAAAGGTTCCTTTGATGTTATGTGAATTTCACCTCAATAAAAATAAAAGTCAGCACAGATGCAAATAGCAATAAAAGGAGGGGTGTCCTGGGAACAAACTCTCCCAGGAAATGAACAGGAGCAGCTCTATCTGGAGAGCTCACCGAGGGCTTCAGCTTCGGTGTGGGGGAAGGAGGGCGGTCGGTTTTCACGCATGATTTGTCGTTGCATCCTTGCTACCTACCCCATAGTAAGCCCTCTTCAAATGAGTATGTGTGAGCGTGTCTGTACAGCAAACAAAATGACCAAGTGTTACTCATTTTCCTCTTCGGTGAGATTATTCCCACCCACCAGAATCTTAAAATCAAGTCAAAACAAAACAAAACAAAAAAATCCAACAAGGAAAACAGAAAGCAAATACCCATTCCTTGAGTTCCTTCTCGTTTCTCTCTGCCTCCTCTTTTCCCCTTTTGTAATACAACTATTGAAATGTCAAGAAACTCACTTTAGAAACTCCTGGGGTGCCTCCTAGGATTTTAAAGAATTTTATATTTGAGAGATTGCTTCTTAACCTGAAAAGGGGGGCTTTTCCCAGCTGTGTCATCTTATGTTCATCCACATGCAAAAGGACCAGATCTCAGACAGAAGGCCTGGGATCAATAACCCTCTAGCATCCCTTCGATTTAAACCAAAAAGATTACTAGTCTACCCCCCAACTTCCGCCACCGCCCCTCCCTAGGTGATCTCAGGTAAAAAAATGGTCACAGAATCCACGTCCCTGCCCCCTTACCTAACACCCTACTGCAAGCCCACTTTGCCCACCTGCAGGCTGATGTGCTTTACAGCTCATTTCTTGGGAGACACATATAAAAGTGGGGGAGGGGCTCCTCTCTCCTTGGGATTCATGACTCTGAGCATGGGGCCACGCATATTGTTAACATAGCCCCAGCTTTACAACCCAGGCAACTGACATTAAGAACCATGCCAGAAATGGGCTTGCTTCATAGGGACATGCTCCCATTTCCCAGTGTTCCCAGTTGCCCTCTTTCCCCATCTGCCAAACCCCATTCACAGCTCAGGCAGCGCACTGGTCGCCCTTGTGCACTCACCAGCCTCTGCCAGGATTCACTGAGTGCCCCGTCTTCCTGAGCAGAATACACCATGTGCATTGGGTGCCCTTCAACGTTTACCTGTGCACTTTGGAAAGTCTGCAAAAGTCTGTCTCGCTCAGAGAAAAGAGAACTCCTAATAAGAACCAAGGCAGAGAGCCTAGCCCATTGCTGATAGCCATGTCCTATGCACCTCCCTTCTCCCATAAATAGAATGACCTTATAATTTAATGTCCAAACTGGGACACTTTTGAGAGCGAAAGAGGGTGTTATAAATAATGAAGCTGGGACCAGTGACATAAATCGGAACTGTCCCAGGAAACCCAGTGTATGTGTTTGGCCCACCCTGTAGCCAAATGAGACTATGCGCTCCTACGAGACAACATCGGGGTCATTTATCCCAGCACTCCTGTTGTATACTGGTGGATGGAGAAACACAGAGCCAGAGACAGGAAGGAGTTGGGAGGGATGAAAAGCAGAGTCTTCAGGAAATGACCCATCATCCTACTAATGGGTACCCAGCACCAGAGACTGTCAGACTGGACTTTGCTGCAGGGGCACTTCCTAAGCTCTAGATCTGAGAGCGACCTCATGGTCTTGGGCAACCTGGCCTCTGACTTCATCTTGTACCCCTCTCCCCTTGCTCACTACTCTCCCTTTACTTAATTGCTTTGTTAAGATGTAGATCCTCAGCCCCAAGACGGACGAACCAGAATCTCTGAGGAGGTGCTGGGATCTACATCTGCAACAACCTTCCCAGGAGTGTCTGCTGGAGTGCGAAGTTTGGGACTCCCTGCCCCAGGCAGCTGGGGCAGGTGCTCATAGCGCACTGTGCGTGCGTGTGCGCTATGGACCTCGGGAATGTCTACAAGGGATCCCTTGCCCTCCCTTCTGGCTGCTGCCTGTGCTGTCTTTCCCACCCTCCTCCACCCGAGAGTCCCTAGGGAATCACCCTCCCTCCTTCCCTGCAGACGGAAGGTCTGTTTATTCAAATTGTCACATGCAAATCCCGGCCAATCTAGGCGTTGTATCTTTTGTCCACTGACGCAGTTTACTTTGGCTGAGTGGGTTTTAGCACGTGCTGTGGGGAAAAGGGCAAAGCATCCCTCAGTCAGATGCACTCGGAACTTGGGCCTCTGGGCGAGACCAGGAGGGGGACAGAGCCGTGGACATTGAGGGGAGCGTGCAGGTCCTGAGCCCCAGCGGCGAAGCTATCGTCCCTTCCTGGCAATGCTCC